TAATGTATAACTATTGCTTTAAGTGTAACTAATTTGTGAGGAATTTCATCATATACAAACTTTCAAGCATTGATCGAACACTTGACATCGAATCCTAATTGACGATGTTAAACAACACTTCACTCAAAGAGCACAATCAAATAGTATGCACAACCTTAGATCTAAGTCTTTCCAATCCTTATCTGACATGGACTCAAGTTTCTTTGACTTTTCTTTCAAGGCTTTGCACAATTATTGTTGCACTAGCAAATCCCAAACAGTAATTTGCGAAAATAATTTTTTCCATCAAATTTATTTACATCGAACTTTACATTTGAAATTTATCCCAAACTAGGCTCTGATACCATATAGTGTGTCTAGAAGCTTTACAGCCTGGGTTGAGTTTTGGCAATAACAAGCGAAAAAATAGGACTAATAACAAGTAAGAAAAATAATGCAGAAAAAAATATCATAAAAAAGACACTAAAATTTTACGTCGTTTGTCAAAGATATTCTCAATCTCTCATGACGTCTCTCTCTACTTTCTCCCTCTACATCCAAATATTCTCTACACAACTACCTTTTGTTGTATGTGTATTTATCTCTCTACAAAAAAAAAAAAAAACTAACAACCTAAATAGGGAAAAAAAAAAACCTATAGATACCAACGATGTCCTCCCCAACTTTTTCCAGTTATTTTAAAAACTTAACATTATCCTATCAAATATGGACTTCCTTGACCATCCCAATTCACTGGGATGTAAAAAAAAAAAAAACAACCTAAATAGAGAAAAAAAAAACCTATAGATACCAACAATGTCCTCCCCAACTTTTTCCAATTTTTTTAAAAACTTAACATTATCCTATCAAATGTGGACTTCCTTGACTATCCCAATTCATTGCGATCACATCCCCCCATAAACTCCTACATAATAGGTTGTTGGTTAATGGTAATCCTAAAATGCTAGAAAATATCCAAAAAATAGGAGACCCAAAATAAAAAGAAACAATCCGTTAATTATAAGAATTTTAGATAAATCAGCAATATGTTGGGGGAGCACATAGAGAAATGTCAGTGCTTGATAAAACATTGTTTAGGTAAACAATATTTCTCTTGTAAGAGGTATTGAAAGAGTGACTAGGATTTCAAAATCATTGTGGTTAATGGCTAGATGGATTATATGTGGATCATTTCCATTTGAAATTCGTGGCTGGGAGTTGAGTTTTTTGAGCCATATAGGGAAGTTTCCCAATATTATCTACGGCGTTATTTCCGTTGTTCGAGTCCTAGAAAAGTTAACCGTGAAATTCAAAGCGATTTCAATGCATCATTAAACATTGTTTAGGACAGTATTTCTTCATGGACCATTGTGATTAATGGCTAGATGCATTATATGTGGATCATTTTCATTTGAAGTTCGTGGTTGGGAGTGGGGTTTTTTGAGCCGTCCCCAAATGCATCCAAAGTTATAAAGAAACAAGTACGGCACTCTAGTGATCTCCATCACAAAGTTGGATGCATATGGAGCAGGGGTGGCAATGGTCCCGGACCCGATGTCCAAGTACGGGTCGAAAAATTGGACCTGACAGGCTGTGTCCGGGTCCAAATATTGGACCCTGAACACTATTCGGGTTCGGTTTCATGTTGACTCGATCTGAATAGTATTATTATATAAATTTTATATTTAACATATAATATTTTAATAACATTTAATTAATAGAGTGATTTATGTACGGACTTTAAAATTTTAGTAAAATACAAAATGAACAGGGCAAAAATTACAAAGTTCGGTCAACCCAATCTTTTTTTATTTTTTCAAAATTCCCCCTCGATCTACTCAAATTTTGATTTTTTAAGTTTTTCTTTTTTCATTTTTCCTGAGTAGGGTTGTGCCCCAAGCTTTAAGGCACTTCCCTAATAACAAAAAAACTGCAAAAAAATCAAAATTAGGGTTGACCAATAGGTAATTTTGGAAAAAATAAAAAAAAGTGAGTTGACTGGCCTTCTTTGTAATTTCTGTATATAAGTGGAGCATTTCGTATTTTACCTAAAATTTTAAGGTCTGTATGTTATTCTAACTAATATTTAAATAAATATAACTATATATTTTAGTATATTTAACATAATATTTAAATATCTATATATATTTTTTTTGGTTGTGTCTCATCGAGTTAGATCTGGTCGAGGTCCAAGACTAAGTCCAAGCCTGAATTTGGTTACTTTGGGTCTGGGCCCGGGTCTGAGCTCGGACCCAACCCGTTGCCACCCCTGATATGAACCAACCATTTTGAAAGAAATTATTCTTATTTTTTATTTTTGGCTAACTTAGTAGTAGGATGCAAACCTGCCAACCTGTTGCCAACCCTAATACGAAGCAACCATTTTCTCATATTTATGAAGGAAATTATTCTTATTTTCCATTTTTGGCTAACTTAGTAGTAGGATGCGAACCTGCGGCACCATATTGTATTACGAACGCCCAAACCATTACACAAATTGCTTGCGTACCCCCGGTTGAGTACTCCAGACTACAGTAGTCCATTTGGAGGCCAAAGATTTGATCCATTTCACACAACCAATAACAATGAAACCAGAAAGGCATTGTATGTAGTCTTCGTTTCTTGCTTTAGCAAAATATAACATAGTGATTATCAGTGTAAGCAGTCTTTTTCACCTCTATTTACATTGAATGTAAAGTCATGATAGCTGCAACACAATCCTTATCTTCTCTCTAGTCAATTTGTGGTCATTTCATTTAGATAGCATGTTCATCATACCTAATTCATATTGGTTGGCAAATAAACGTTATTTTGTGACCTTTTTAAATGCCGTAGTTGCCTCTCTCTTTGGCCCTAACCATCCATTCCAACCTAAGATGGGTTTGGGGATGGGAGAGAGAGTGGAAGAAGAATAATAAGAAAAGAAAGGCCATCCCGATATAGAGTAGGCAAATAAATGCAGATCTTGACTCGGAATAAAGTTCTATTTGAAGAGTAGGGCCTGGGGATTAGTACACCCCTTTCAAAGAGCTTTTTAGCCCTCATTGACCCACTCCCATGGACCTTTTTCCCTCTGCAAAATACTCATTTTTTTAAAGTAGGTGTTTTGATAGGGCTGCCACCCTATCATTATAAGTAAAGCCTCACTTCCAAACTCACCAGGAACTTCAGTTTTAACACTAAAAATATTCCATTATAGTTGTGAAAAAAATATTAGAATTTCAAGCTTTAAAAATAATGTACATTACAACACCTTATCTAGACCATCCATTCTAGCCTAAGACAATTGTTCGTAGATCTATAAGATTTGTGTTATTTTTTAGCTTCAAAATTCATAAACCATGTTAGAACTAATTTTAGAGTCATTGTGGATATTTTATGATGTCCAAAGTGCTTTTCAAATGAGGATTCAAAGTGAGGCTTTACTTTATTGGGAAAATAACCTCTAACCTCCGCCCTGAAATTTCTATTCCTATTAACCCCCTGGGTTAGTCAAAATTCCTTGCACCTCTTCTAAACTTTGGCACCATTAGCCTCTTAATTATAACTTTTTTTGTTCTTTTTACAAATTTGATCTCTTTGTTTTACAAAATATCAAACCCATATATTAGTCATCCATATTTTTTTTGTGACTTGATATATAAATTTTATTGATGATAATAATTTATAATTATTATAATTAATTAATAATTATAATAATAACAATAATAACAACAACATTATATTAATTGTTAAATATTTCATCTCTTTATAAGTATTTTGATCAAGTTTATTAATAAATAAATAATAATAACCACCAACAATAGTAACAAATATCTTGATTAATCATTTTTCAAGTTCAAACGATATTGATATAATTATAAAATAGGTCATAATGTTCAAGAAAAATTTGTTTTTTTTTATGTCTAAATTTATAGAGTGGGATCCACGAAGGTAAAATTGGTTTTAGGCAACGGAAGTGAAAAGGAAGAGAAATTTTGTAAAATAAAAAGATCAAACTTGTAAAAAAAAACAAAAAAAAAATACAAATATGGGGCTACCCATCTCAAAGTTATAAATTTGAGAGGGTACAAAGGATTTTGGTGAACCCAAAAAGCTAATAGGGATAAAAATTTTGAGAAGAGGGAAAAAGTCATTTTTCCTACTTTATTTTCATGAAGCCTAGGCAAAACCTGCAACCGCTTTTTAAGGGATTGTATATTATGAGACTATCCGATTTTGGCACGAGAAGCTCAAAATCGGCCCTAACTATCAAATTTAGATTAGAATGGTTCAGAGAGTATGCTATTATTCAAAAAAAAATTTGTTACATTTTTAAGTACGATCAATAGCACATCCCCAACAGCTCGATTTTACATCCAATGGTTAGGGATGATGAGAACCGTCTTGCAATTATCATATACTTGTCCTTTTGAAAAATCTTGGGTTTATGGGATCCATCTCAGATGTACTAATTGTTGGTCAAAAGCATCTCAAAGACTAGAGACTGAAATTCTAAGGGAAGAAGCAAGCCATAGATGAAACAAAGAAAATTAAGCTGAAAGAACCACTTGCTCCACGAGAACGGGGAAAAGAGGAGGATGGGTCACCAATTATTAATTCTATATTGTGAGTAACCCTAGTTTCTAGAAACCCTAGAAAGAGCACAGAGCCCAAGGTGGGAAGGTGCGCTTGTCGGTGGGATGGGATGGAACCGGCCCCTCAACCCCTCATCTACGCCGATTCGAAGAGAAAGACATCTCTTTCTCTCTAGCTACTCTAGATAGAGAAACAGCCTCATTCTCACTTTCCCTAAAGCCCCTATTTACGTAAAAGTAGACCTACCTACCAAATCCAGACTTTCCTTCTTAACCACTCGTCTTTCTCACCAACTCGGTCAAATAACCAAAAGGATCGAGTCAATTGGAGCTCGGATTTCCAGTTCTCCTCATATAAATCCTAGCCCTTGATGTTCAACTCTTTTCAACGGCTCACATAAAACACAGACCGCTCCTGCTCCTCCCCCTCCCCCTCCCCCTCCCCCTCCCCCTCCATACCCTTTCAACTCCCTGCCCCTCCCCCACCATCCTGGCCTAGAGAGAGAAGGAAAGATGGGGCGTTCTCCCTGCTGTGAAAAAGCGCACACGAACAAAGGCGCGTGGACGAAAGAGGAGGACCAGCGCCTCATCGCATACATCCGAGCTCATGGCGAGGGTTGCTGGAGGTCGCTTCCCAAAGCAGCAGGTCCCTTCTCCTCCTCCTTTGTAAATAATATTTCTCTGTTTTCTCCTATGAATAATAATCCTTCTTCCATGATCATACTAATTCTCTGTTCAAGAACTTCCTGCTAAGGTTTCGTCGATTTTTGTTTTGTTTTTTTTCCCCTCAGGTTTACTTCGTTGTGGGAAGAGCTGTAGGCTCAGATGGATAAATTACCTAAGGCCCGACCTCAAGAGAGGAAATTTCACAGAGGAAGAAGATGAGCTCATCATCAAACTACACAGCTTGTTAGGCAACAAGTAAATTTCCTCCCTTAATTCTTTTTTTTTTCTTTTGTTCTTTTTTTGGATAGTCAGCATTAGGAATCGAACTTGGGGGGCAGTGTTGCATTTGTCAACAACTAATCAATCAAATCTAAGCCCTATTCCTTCCATTAATCATTAGTCTCATCAAACATACATAAACCCCATGTCTATTTCGATCAAGTCTGTTACATGTTCATAGAGAAAAAAGTGAGCATACAGCTTGGGAACTAACCAATACAGCTTGGGAACTAACAAACATTTGATTTTTAATTTTGTAGATGGTCACTCATAGCTGGTCGCTTACCAGGACGAACGGATAATGAGATCAAGAATTACTGGAACACTCATATAAAGAGAAAATTACTAAGCAGGGGAGTCGATCCTCACACACACCGCCCCCTTCATGAGCCGTACCCGGAGAACTCGGAATCACCACGACAGGCCTCTATTGGACACATCCCACAACAAAGTACTTCAAATTCAGATAAAAATGTTGGTGGTGATAGACAGAGAGAGTTAGCAGAAGAGGGCCACAGCAGCAGTGGAGCAAGTGAGGGGGAGATTCCGGACTTGAATCTCGACCTCTCCATCAGCTTACCATTTCCTTCCATGCCATCTCCAACAACAATTGCAGGCACAACAGAAGAAGGTACGTCCGGTGCGGCCCTCTCGGAGCAACAAATGGGTTCAGTGGTCTGCCTCTGCTGCCACTTGAGCTTGCAGAGCAGCACCGATTGTCGATGCCGGACGCTACACAGCTCGCAACCCGTCTGGTTCTTGAGCAGACCTTCATGATCCAGAATTTCACACAACAAACAGATGAAAAATCCCAAAAAAAAACCAGGGTTATGTACAGTTATGAGAATTCAGGTTAGAGTTATTTTGTCCCTGTCGCTTGGAAAGAAAAAGATACACAGACAATACAAAGTGCTTAGTACTAGTGAACAAACAGCTTTCCCCTTCTTTCCCAAAAATTTTTTTTCCCCCTTTTTGTCTTAATTTCCGGCTAAATTTTAATTAATGGAATCTTAGTAGAGGCATTTTTTAATGAGTTGATAGGATTACGTGAAGTGGTGACTGTGAAAACAGGTGAAGCACTTTATTAGGTAACCCAACCTGCAATCAAAGAATCGGAAAGTGAGTTGGTTAGTTAGGAAGGAAGGGTATCATGTGCACTTAGGTATGTCATGGCATGGAGATCCGTGCACCCGCAGATCCTCAAATGCCCTTCCTTATCCATCCACACGCTCCAGTCCAAACGAACAAACAAAATTCTAGTCGTCATAAATATATGAATGGGGTTTCTATGAGTCACCGACTCATACTGTACATATGTGGGCCCCTCATTAAACAACCTTAAAAAATGGATTTTTGGTTTAAAGTTTTAGGGGTTTATGATCTAGGTTAAGATGATCATTAACATGAAGAAAACATAAAAATATTTTAAGGATTGCATACAATAAGACTATTACCTTTGATACAAGGTGTGTGAGAGAAAATTTCTTTTTGAAGTTTGTGGTTGGTCAATAGGATAAATGTAACCATTTAATTTCACATGGGATGATCAAAATCAATTGGGATTTTTTTGTATTAAAAATAAATAGTTTCATTCTATGTTTTTTAAATTTTTTATATTTAAAATATAAATTTTTTGAAAAATATATTTATGCGGTATATACCCTATGAGTTTTTTAGACCGTGCATCTCACCCGTTGACTCGCGAACGATTTTTCCTACAAATATAAACAAATGAAAACCACAACCTTTATCCATACATCCATCCCCTCCTCACCGAACCATTTTTTTTTGCTATAAGTTATTGCGGTAATATGTAGGACAGTGGTAGGTTGGTCATGGATATTTTGAATTATGAGTTGATGAGAAGAGGGAAGATCCTCAACCAAGATTTTGGGTTTTATGCACTTTTGCACATGAAGAGGCCATCATTATCTTACGTCACTTATGATGCTCAACTATCGCTCACTCAAACCTCCAATAATTCATTTCATTCAATTCACACTTTTGGAGAGTAATAATAGCCATAGTAAATCTGCAACAACTCAAACCAAGCGTGTGTTGTAATCAAGAAAGGAGCCCGGGTTAAATGGTTTGTGTGTTTGATAGAGAGAGAAGTGATTTAGCCAAAAAAGGATAGAGAGATATAAACAAGAAATGAGTTCGGGCTAAAGGGTTAGTGTGTTTGGCGATTGATATGCAACGTTAGATCCCAGACTCCATTCTCATATCAGGATAAGAGATCATCTCACTAAGCCATTGAAAAGAAACACAAAACTTGTTGTCGAAAAAAAAGAAAAGAAAAAAAGTTAACTAAATAAATGAAGAGAGGGAAAAGGCTTTAGCCGAAAAGGACGGCTAAAGCAGAGAGAAAGAGAGAGACGGGCCCTTTTGGGATGGGGAACGAACATGTGCGTGGGGTGGTGGTGGGTGGAGGTTGGTAGGAATGACGTGCGAGAGACAACTACGTGTGAGGGCTTTGTCTCTCTCTTCCCCAATAGATGGGGTATTCAATAGGGATCGGCCTTCTAGAAGACCGCCACCTAACTGATGTAAATGGGGAGTAAAATAATGGGGTTCGGCAACTATCAGCGCCAACCGTTACTTTTTTTTTTTCAGCTTCTTCCTATTGCCCTCGTAAAGGACGAGAGAGAGTGAGGGATTTTTTGAGAGAGAGGGTTTTTAGGAATAATAAAGAATGAAAAAGAGTGAGTGTTTCCTCTTCTTCCGATTGCCCTAGTAAAGGAAGAGAGAGAGTGAGGGATTTTTTGAGAGAGGTTTATCGGAATAATAAAGAATGAAAAAGAGTTTAGTGTGGGGCGTGAGAGGAAACGCATAGTGTGGATGTGGCGGTGACGAGGCGGTTCCCACTTTTTGTTTCAATGGTGGGACGACGTCACCTCTCCTACCAACCCTCTCTCACTCCCCATTATCTATCCAGGGGATGTGGGCCTCTATCTTTTCCTGCTTCTATCCTTTCTCTGCCCTATTTACACCATTTTTTTCCCGTTTTTTCCATTACATAGAGGAAAAAATATCCTCGAAAGAACTCATTTGCGCCTGGGATCATAGTGGAAACCTTATTTAGCAACACAAAAAAAACGAGCCAAATAGTGAGGTAGATGGGCTAAGCCACTTATGCTTTTAGCAAGGAAAAAGTTTATATATGGTGTCAACTTTATAATTCGAGAAAGGTGTGCCTAAAAGAAATTATTGGAAAAAGTTGTTTTTATATTGAAAAACCTTTGAATCGATCATCTCGACCCCAAAATTTATAGATATAAATAAAAAGCATTTTTAATTTTAAAAATAGTTCATCTTCTAATACATTATTTAGACGGTCCATTTTCAAGATTTTCAAGCGTTCATAGATCGGCTTGGTTGTCACCATTTCTGAAACTCTAAATTTCATCATTGGAAGCAACAATAGATTTTCATATTTTGCAAGGCTTTGCGGCACCAATACTGCATTTTTAGCATAGTTTTGACCTGCACCTTACTTTAATAGTACAAGGTTGACAACATATACAAACCTCACCCTTTTAGTAATCCACCCCAAATGTGCAAATAGTAGTTGGCAGCTTTGATTCAATTTTAGTTTGCAGAGGGAGTCTAAGATTTGGGTGGGAACGAGTAGGAGCATTAATGAATAGGGACCTCACCGTCAAAATGTGCGACTCGGGCGAGTAGTCAGAGTAATTTCGCGTGAGTTGGGCCGAGCTTTTTGCAAAGGCAAAAAAAATTAAAAACATAAATCTCAAAAAAAAAAAATTAAAGTAAAATTAAACAAAACACATGTAAATGAGGATAAAAAAGTAGGAAAAAAATGGATTTTCAAATAAATCAATTTATAGCTGGGAGTATTTTAGAAATAATTTAAAAAAGGGAAAACATAAAAATAAACCCGTTACTCTGACCCGTCTGATTTGCCAGGTCCAAGTAATCAAACATTGCTCAACATAGCATCCCAGCCTCCATTTTCCATAGTTAACACTCAAAAGAAAAAGAAAAAAAAATAAAAAATTTCTACCCCTTAGGAATATACCATCCATTTACTCCCTAACACATGTTAGAGATATTGTTTAGATCACAAATTTTAGAGATATAATATCTAATGGGTATAGATTAATCTCAGTAAAAAGAATTTATGAGATAAACTCTCTAAATACTAAAAAAACTAGTGCCTCAAGATTAAATAGAGACCGCCAAGTTTTTAAAGGACGAGACCTAAGTGTCACAAAACTCAATATTCATTTTTTTTTTTTTTTGAAAATAACAAACTAGTAATTTTGAACTAAAAAAATCTTCCTACATATTAAGTATTTTGAGTAAGTAGATACACTCCCACATGTACACAGTATACGTGTTAACAAAAAGGAAGTCCGGGACATGGGACAAAAGAAACAAAAGCAAGAAGGGACTACAGGAAACGTGGGTGGCCCAACAGTGTAGACCCACTCTTTTCCTTTTTTTTTTTTTTGTTTATTTTTTTGCAAAGTTTTCATTTGAATAATTTATGTTCGTGGTTTTTGTACGCATGCCACGTGTCATATAATGGGCCTCCTTGATTGGTTGGTCATCATATATAATGGGGGTAGTTGTTATGCCCGGCATCACCCCCAAAACTCTCTTACTTGCCTTATTTTCCGCATCCAGCACTCACCGTGTTCTACTCATATTTAATCATGTTGTCTCCCCAAATCTCACTATCCCTCTATTTTCCCTTTTTCCCAATATATGTATTTTAAAATCATCCATGAACATTATATTTTTTTTTATGAAAAATATTTATATAAGGGTGAGGCCCTACACAATTAAATTAAGACAACTTAAAAGTTCACTAGACGAGGTTGTTTCAGTGTCCAAAAATTTTCATATCGATCATCTCGACCTCACGATGTATAGACATGAGAAAAATTAGATTTCAATTCATGAAAATAGTGCATCTTATTATGCAATTTCTAGAACGTCAATTTTCAAGGTTTTCAAGTGTTTATAGATCTATACTATTTCAAATATTTAAATTTTATAATTCAATATAAAAACAAAATTTGAGACCATCACAAAGAATTTTTGTACTAAAACAACACCTTTCGATACTATTTGAAAGTGCGTTTTAGTTTGATTGTGAGGGCCTCAACCTTATACAAACCACATCGTTTTTCTAATTCATAAGTAAATCCCTCTCTCCTCTCTGTCCCAGGTATATTTATTTGCTTTTTTGGCCATTTTGTAGCTTCCTCTTAAGTGCTTAGTTATTTCTCTTAATCCCCTTTGTCTCGTGCTTCCAATGATTTATTGCTTATTATCTGACTCGCTCTCTCGTCGTACCTCTCTCAATATTAAAAAATAAATACTTTTTGCACTGCTAATCCAACCCGTCCGCTCTCTCAATGCCGTGTTGTATTTTATTCCTCTCTCTCTCATAATCATCTCAGTTATTAGAAACAATGAACCTCTAGCGAAGAGCTCCAAATTATGGGAAGATGAAAGAATGTCTCATTGGGAGAGCCACAAATATGTTTGCATCACATCATAGCTTTGATTTCATTTGATTTAATGAACAATATTTTACAGTTTTTTAGAAGTGTCAAAAAAACTCAGGTTTCCTTGCATCGCATGTATGGAATTTTCAGGAAGTTCTCTAATCTTGTGAAACTCCTCAAAGTCTTTTGAAGTGACAAAAGCAAATTGAGTAATATAAAACCCGCCTAATTTTTGCAATTTTGGTTTAGAAAATTTACTCTCGCTCACTCTCTCTTTATAAAATTCACACTTAACTTTGGAATTTTGATAGGATCCGGTGCATTAGTGTTGGTATTTCGCACCCAAATTTACTCTCTCTCATACACATAGAATCGGCCTACGTTGGCTCTAGTCCGGTCCAAAAATAATTGAGGCTTATCGGGTGAGGCTTAGGACCACGCTTAGGACTTATCATGTCGCCCAAACCTTGCAGCTCTAATTGCTAGGAAAAACCATTTTCTAGGCTTTTTCAAAGTTTTGGAGATTGTTCACGTGTTTGGAGGCGTACCACATAATGTATATACAAACTTCATGTTCAAATAAATATAAAAGTATATAAAGGGGCAGTAATTTCATGCAACAGTTGTATAGTAATATAATACAATAATTTTTTAAAAAAACTATGTTACGGCTATTTGTTTGTTCCAAATTTTAAAATATACATTCTTTTCATTCTAATAAATAATCACAAAAAAAAAAAAAATG